TCCTAAACGCAGCTAGCAATGAAGTTGGCCTAAAAATAAATTTGTACAAAAACAAAAACCATGTACAAAGAGCTAGTGGAGTTTCAAGATTTAATAATAAACAAAACTTCACTTGAGACAGTAGACGAGTATGTATACATGAGATAATTATTACTTAAACCTGGCCCCTTACTACCAGAAATCAACAGAAGAATAAAACTGGCTTGGGTATATTTTGGTGGAAATGCAGTTATATTTCAATCGAAGATGCCACTCCACCTAAAGGAAAAAAACAGTAAATCAGTGTATATAAACAATGAGGCTACGAAACTCAAAACACTAAACAGTAAGGAAAGAGATAATAGAGAAACTTAAAGTTACTCACATATAATTGGATCGATGCATTTAGGTATAACAAAGACAGGTCGAAAAAGAATAGCATGGATCAGACAGAAAACCAAAGTCACTAATGTGATCCATAGAATTAAATCTTCAAAATAGCAGTGGGCGGAACATTTAGCATGAAGAACTGACAATAGCTGTTTCACTAGAATTATACTATGATATTCAAGAGGCGTCAAGAGACCAAGAAGACGTCCAAATTTAAGATGGGACTATGAGATAAGGAAACAAGCAGATAAAACATGACAGAGAAAAGCGAATATTAGAAAATTATCGGCAGAAATGAAAAACGCATATATAAAGGAAACTGCACCATAATCGGTAGCATACGCTGAGAATGATGACGATGATGATGGTGATGATTATATATAGTGTGTTGTTAGTGTGACACATATCGAAAGGAAATTAAAATGAAAACTGCATTAGTGGAGACTAGCTCTTGAATAACACGATTTAAATATTGGTAGGAAGAAACAAAATATTTAAAATTTGTAAAGTATTTATGATCGGTATAAAAGAGAAATACAATAGAGCTAAATTGGATAGATGAAACAAAAAGAGGTAGGTGATATTCTGTATGAAAAAAAAATTAATGAAACTAAAACTCAAATAAACCATAGTAGGTATCAGCGAAGTTAGAAAAAAGGGAGAGAGTCTTACCTCACTTCCATCGGGCCATTTATTTTATTACAAAGGAGAAGAGGAATCGACAGTCGAAGGCGTCGGCTTCTTTATTCACAAAAGAATTGCTAACAGAATTGTGTCAATAAACCCAATCTCAACAAGAGTGGTCTATTTAAACATCAAAATAAACGCCAGATATATCCTAAAGTTCATTCAAGTGTACGCCCCTACTACAGGACATCCAGACGAAGAAGTCCAAATATTCTACGACCAAATATCCTGTGCAATCAAGGAAAATCCCGGCCACTTCTTAATAATAGGTGCTGACTTCAACGCCAAAATAGGCACTAAGGAAGACCCCTCTGAAATAATATTGGGAAATTTTGGAAGCGAAGGCAGAAATGTTAGAGGCAAACAACTACTGACTTTTCTTTTGGAAAACAATCTCTATTAAATGAACAGCTTCTTTAAAAAGAAAAAACACAGAAGATGGACATGGGAAAGTCCTGATGGAAAAACAAGGAACGAAATCGACTATTTCTTAACAAACAAAAAAGTATTATTTAAAGACGTAAATGTGCTAAACCAGTTCAGTACAAGCAGTGATCATAGGTTAGTAAGAGCTAAAATAACGATAATCATCTGAAAAAGAAAGACTCAAAATGATAAATAAGAAACAACCAAAGAAATGGACAAAACCAACTAACATTCAGGAGTTCGAAAAATATATTGGGAATTCATTGAAAGATACAACAACAGCTGACATTAATATATTGAACAAACAAATAGTCAACACAATGCAACAGGCTCAAACTAAATATTGTCCGACAAGCAAAAAAGATGAAAAACTGAGTCAACCCACGAAAACCCTTATAGAACTAAGGCGACAAATGAAGGGAGATAACACTGCAAGCAAAGAAGTGATAAATCAAATAAATAAGACGATCACAAAGGCAATAAGAGAAGACATAAGAAACTACAATGTAGAAAAACAAATATGTACATGTAGAGAAAAAAACACATAAACATGTAGAGAAAAATAAGAACATGAAAGTTTTGAAGAGGAGCGTACAAAAGGGGAAAATAGAAATTAACAAAACTGAGAAACAGAACTGGAGAAGAAACAATGAACAGAGATGAAATATTAAGAATAGTCGAAGAGTTCTACACAGAGTTATATAGATGAAGAAAAAAAGATAACAATACGGAACCTCCAATTACACTAAAAACTGGGGTATTAAACCAAGGATCAGATTTAAAGCCCAATATAACAAAATCAGAAATCAAAGAAGCCCTGAAGAAAATGAAAAATAATCGAACCCCGGGCGAAGATGGAATAGTATCAGAAGTACTACAAATTGGAGGGGATGTATTACTTGAAAAAATTAAACAACTTTTCAATATCTGTCCTTCACAGTGCCAATATTCCAACAGACTGGAACAACGCTACTATGATTCTATTACACAAAGTAGGCGACAAAGCAAATTTAGAGAATTACAGACCGATTAGCCTCCTCAGCCATATATATAATATATATATATATATATATATATATATATATATATATATATATGTTGTTTAAGCGAATACTAGTTAAGAGAATGGAAAGAAAATTAGAGACTTATCAACCAAGGGAACAGGCAGGATTCCGAAAAAGTTACGGAACAAATGACCATCTACAAAGTATAAAAACCCTAATAGAGAAAGCAGTGGAATACAATAAACCTCTAGTTCTAATATTTATCGATTATTCACAAAGCCTTTGACACAGTTGAGCTAAGCAAAATATTACAGGCGCTTAAAGAATGCAGGCTAGATTATAGATATACTAAATTATTATACAAAATATACCTGCAGGCAACAACCACTGTCAAATTACAAACTAACAGTAATCGCATAATCTTTTTAATACGGTGCTAGAACATGCTTTTAAGAATTTGGATTGGATGACAAAGGGAATAAAAATAGATGGAGAATATCTAAACAACTTACGTTTCGCCGTTGATATACTTATAATAGCTGAAGATCTAGGTATGGCAAGAAAGATGGTACAGGAACTCGTTGTGGCTACAGAAAATGTAGGTTTAAATATAAATATCCCGAAAACAAAAATCATGACAAATTTGGTGCCCAACCAGAACATCAGTATTGGTGGGAAAGAAATGGAACTCGTAGATAGATATAAATACCTGGGACATGAAATTATGATTAGCAGAGATAACCAGACTCATGAACTGAAGAGGAGAGTCGGCCTTGGGTGGGCAGCATTTGGAAAACTGGAGAGAAACTTTTAAAAGTGAGCTGCCCACATGCCTAAAGAGAAAGGGTATTTGATCAGTGCGTCCTCCCAGTCTTGACGTACGGAGCAGAAACACTTACCTTAACAAAAGCAGCAGCTACCAAACTGAGAGTCACGCAGAGAAGAATGGAGCGGTCCATGTTAGGGAATACCTCTCCGAGACAGAATAACAAACGAAGACATCAGGAGAGAACGGAGGACGACATCAGAAGATACCGGAGTGACTGACATCATCCAGAAGATAGCCAGACTAAAATGGAGCTGGGCAGGACATATAGCCAGAATGACAGATGGGAGATGGACAAAGAGGTTATTGGAATGGAGGCCAAGGGAAGACAAGAGAAGCGTCGGTCGACCACCTACAAGATGGACTGACGATATAAGAAGACTCAATAAAAACTGAATAAGAGCGGCGCAAGATAGACGGGGTTGGAAACATGTGGAAGAGGCCTATGTTCAGCAGTGGACTCTTGAGGCTGGATGATGATGAGGACTCATTAAAATAGACAGCTTTAAATGTTGCATGTAACAGAAAAGAAAAATAGCAAATGCATATCTACTGCAGAGTCAAGAAAGGTTAGATCCATCAGTGGAGTGATAAAAAAGAATAAAATAAAAATTAGTTTATTAAAGGAAGTCTAGATCGAGGTATGTTACTAATTTATGCTATGTTATTTATAAAGGTGCCAAGTTGAATAATAATGGCTCAAAACCGATATATAATTCAATAAAAGTAATAACTGAGTTTTAACTTCCTGGAAGAACTAGGCGATAGAGACCAAAGAATATCGAGTAAAGGCCGTAAATTTATCTGGGAAAGGGACTTAGTTGGCATAAAATGGGATATTAACTTAAAAAAAAATGTACCTTATAAGAAAAGAAAAGCTCTTATAACAATAAAGAAAAGTATAATGATAGTTGATATTTATAACAAGATATATTTGATAAAAACTTATATATTCCACATATAATAGAAATATATGATGGTTAAGATGCTAAAATATTTATTATTGGACACGATGATTTTTCAAAATGGTCTATTAGAGATATCAGTCTTACATATATTTTTAAGTGTTTGATAACCCCCTCTGTGGCTCAGTGGTAAGAGCGCCTGCCTTTAAACCTAAAGGTCGTGAGTTCGAATCCCACCTGGGTGGAAATTTTCGTTTATTAAAAAAATTAATAGATGAAAATAATTTCTATCTTTGTGTGATCGGTACACATCGGAGGGACCGCAGTCGTTCGGATACAATTAGCGTCTCTTAGCAAAGACAATGACGTCGACTTTGCTAAGTATCAAGACAATTACTCTACACACACACACACTACACCTCAAATTGTAAGATTGGCGAATGGATTTAGTGTCCGCAGTCAATTAAACACAAACAAACAACAACAAGTGTTTGACATTAGTTATAAGAATTTTATACCGAATTGTTTATTAAGTAGATAATAACACTCTCAATTTCTAGCATGCGCATAACACATTAAAAGACGGAAAATATATATAAACGACTTGATATATATCACAAATGTCATTCCTAAATATACTCCAATTTTTATAAACCTATTTTTACAACTCCTTGGGAACTTCTTTCAGTGTAATCACATGTTTTCTCCTCGACGTGACCCAACGTATAAACCCTCACACAAAAAATAAATCGAAGTCCCACGTAAAAAGCAAATTGTACTTACTCAATAACCATCTTCTTCATTTCACCGATGGTCCTAACCTTCCTCTTGCCCTCCTTTGTCGGTTGGTGAACGATAGGATGGGACCTGTCCATCTCCTTTCGGAATTTCGCCCGCTCGCCATCGTCCAGCATGATGTAGTCGACAATGTCGCTGAAATCGTCGTGCGGGTGCTGACCTGAAGGTTTTTCGCCGTCTTTTTGCTTGTCATTGGAGAGAATGGCATCGTTGGGAGAAACGGCGCCATCTTTGATGTGTCCATTAAGGCCAGATATTTCATTCGGAAGACTCTCTTTGGAAATGTTTGCACTAGTTACGGCGGCACTGAAACAATTTCAAACGTGTTTTCAAAACTGAATTTGACAATTTAGTGGTTTAAGGTAACAAACATATTTACTAGATATTGCAAAAGAATATAAATATAAGTTGTTTGGTGACCTCAAAATTAAATATTTAATATAATATAATATATATATATATATATATATATATATATATATATATAATATATACAACGCAAAAGTCTAGGGACATTTTTATAAATAGACGTATTTTCTTTATCTGTAATAAACTTAAATAAGTAACAAAATTTGTAGTTTAAAATTGTTGTTTAACATGTCAAAAACCATAAATTGCAAAAAAACAGAAAATTGGAGCAAAAAAAAATATATTGCAAATTACGCATGTTTCACATACCACCAATAAAATGTCAAAAATACAAAATATAAACTTAAAATAAAGTATGGCCAACACGTTGGTCTATCACAGCTCTACATTTACTGTTCATGCTCCGAATCACATTGCTAATTTCTGCTTGAGGTAGTTGTGTCCATTGTTCTCTCAGAAGCTCTATTAATTGAAACTCATTGTAGATATGGCCCATATGTGGAGTAATTCTTTATTGGAGCATGTCCCATACATGCTCAATGGGATTCAAGTCCGGTGATTGTGCTGGCCACGTCAATACATCAATACCCTCGTTATCGAACTAGTTTGTTACAATATGCGCAACAAGTGGTCGAGCTTCATCATGCATAAAGTAAAAATGTTTTCCAACAGCAGCAGCAAAGGGGCGCACAACAGGTTCAAGAACAGTGTCCAAATATTGCTGACTTGTGAGAAAGCCATGTGGAAAAATGAGGTCAGTTCTTCCGTCAATCATGATTCCGCCCAATATCATTAATGTACCACCTCAGTATGCATACACTTCTTGAAGATATCGTAATCGTTCTCCATTTCCGGGTCATCTCCAAACTCTTGTCCGACGACAATCTGAATGAAATCCATATCTAGACTCGTCACTAAACAAAACTGTGGCCCAGTCATTGTCAGTCCAATTCTGAAACTCTTGACACTAGGTTAATCTTGCAGCGCGATTGCCTCTAGATAGAGGAGGACATCTCAATGGTCGTGGTTGTTACATTATGTGCAAGCTGTAATTAATTAACCAGCTCGGATGCCCTGATTGTTTGCTGCCTTTTGGCATTTAAAATTAAATATCGGTCTTAAGCGACCATGTCCTGGATGTTGCTTGAATGGACTCTCAGTGTCTCTAAACCGATGCCACAAACGACCTACGACGCTTTGGAAGACACACATCTGGTCAGCAACTTGGGTTTGTCAAATACCAGCTTGAAGGAGGCCCACGACTCTATTCATCTTGTCCAACGTTAAATGTTGTCGTTGCGTGGTAAAAGACAATATCTCTAACTTACCTATTAACCAAGAATGGTATAAAGTGACTAAAATTACCCACAAGGAATCTACGTTCCTGTAGTTGGCTGTATACCATGTATTAAAAATTTATTTAAAAATCCTTTGTAATAGGTATACATTTAAGGCCCAAACGGGCTAAGTTAAAAAGACAAAACGTTTTCGGAAACCATGTTCCATCATCAGTGTCCTAGAAAATAGTTAACCACTTAATTAAAAAGAACATGGGTCAAAATTTTAACCTATGTTCTTTTTAATTAAGTGGTTAACTATTTTCTATATGACTACTAACGAAAAATTAAAGAGATGGACAGAATATATCAATGAACTGGTCAACGACAATAGAACAGAACAGATGGAGTTAGAAGTAGAAGAGGATATGGTATTAAAGATATTAAAAGAGGCAATTAAAATGGCATTTACAAACAGCAAAAATGGTGAAGCATTAGGCACCAAATCCCTATAGAAATCTTAAAATGCATGAATGATGAAACCTTAGACATTATAGTAGACTTATTTAACTCAGTATACAAAAGAGGACACATACCAAAACAATGGTTACTCTCCACCTTTTGTGCTATCCCTAAAAATCCAAACGCTAAATACTGCAGTGAATACAGAACAATATCACTAATAAGTCATATTCTCAAATTATTCCTGAAAATAATACATGATCGTACAAATAAAAAAACTTGAAGAAGGAATAGATGATAGTCAATTTGGGTTCAGAAACGGAATAGAAACCAGAAAAGCGTTATTTGCTTTTAATGTGTTAGCTCAAAGATGCATGATATGAATGTTGATGTGCATGTTTGTTACGTTGATTTTGAAAAAGCATTTGACAAAGTAAAACATAAAAAATTAGTCCAAATTCTAAAGACAAAAAACATAGACCATAGGGACTTACGAATAATAACAAACCTCTACTGGTATCAAAGAGCACAAATCGTAATAGATAACGAACCCAGTCCAGAAATTGAAATCAGGAGAGGAGTTAGGCAGGGATGTATTATGTCCCCATTACTATTTAATGTATATAGTGAAGCCATTTTTGAAGAAGCATTACTATCTCAAAGTGAAGGAATAATAATTAACGGAAGATCTATTAACAACATAAAATATGCAGATGACACCGTGATTATGGCAAGCTCTGCTGAACAACTCCAGTTACTGCTAAACAAAACAGTTTATGTGAAAAATATGGACTAAAAAAATATACAAAAAAGACCAAATACATGACAATATTAAAGAAAACAAATATACCATCAAACATATATTTGGGAAATGTACCGATAGAAAGGGTTGATAAATACAAATACCTAGGAACCTGTATTTCAGACAATAATGATAAAAATCATTCTGGCAATTATAATTTTGTTGGTTACGCGCCTGAATAGTTCAATTGAACTGTATCCAAACCATTCACGGAGATTGCGTAGCCACGAGATTTTACGTCTGCCTAAAAGCTTCAACACCAAAAAGGGTAAAGAAATTATAACATCGAATCATTCTTATCCGGAGCGATATATTGGTATCGCGATTACAAAAAAAAAATTTCATTCTATGTAAAGTTGACCGTGCAATTTCAATGCGGCATCTTATTTCTTTTGTCTGGTCAGTATCTTCTGTGATCCATGCGCCAAGGTATTTGTTCGAAGATATTTGTTTAATTTCTGTATTATCTAGTACTAGCTTAACTTCGATGTTTTGTGCTTTTGTAAATACCATGAACTTGGTTTTTCTTCAAATTTATTTTTAGTCTATAATCGTTGCAATATATATTTAGTTATTCAGCAAGATGTTGCAGTTCTTCTAGTGTTCCTGCCAGAAGGACGGTGTCGTCAGCATATCTTATGTTATTAAGTGGCTCATCGTTTATTATAAGACCCTCACTGACCTCGGCAAGCGCTAATTCTGAGATGGCTTTACTGTAATTGAATAACAAAGGTGATAAAATACACCCTTGGCGGATCCCACGGCGAATCTGGATATCCTCGGTCAGTTCATTTTTAACTGTGACTTTTGCTGTTTGGTTCCAATAGAGGTGACATATGATTCTAATGTCTCTACTGTCTATGTTTTTATTCAATAATAAGCCGATTATGCTGCACTCTGTCAAATGCCTTCTTAAAATTAATGAAACAGGCATATACTTCCTGATTTATATCTAAGATCTCTGCTTAGAAAGAAACAACACGAGATGCAAACAGTGCATCTCGTGTTCCTAGTCCTTTCCTGAATTCTATTTTTGTATTACTTATGCCTTCATCTAATTTATTATGTATTCTATTGTGAATTACTTTTAAAAACAATTTCAAGACATGACTCATTAATGCTATGGTGCGATGTTCATTGCACTCCTTTGCATTGGCTTTTTTGGGAAGCAGTATGAATGTTGATTGGAGCCATTCTTTAGGTATTATACCTGTTCTATATATGATATTGAATAGATCCAAAGAAGATCAATAGATTCAGTATTCACAACTTTGAGTAATTCGATAGGAACTTCATCAGGCCCGGGAGATTTATCACCTTTAGCTTGTTTCATTGCATATTCAATTTCTTCTCGTATAATGTCAGGCTCAGTATCATCCTTAAATTCTTTTGGTGCTTCCGTGCTCTCTTTGTCTTTAAAAAGTTGTGCTGTATATTGTGTTTTCTGCATTTTTTGGTTTATATCTGTTATAAGTGCACCACTTTTATCTCTTAGTTGCCTATTTTGAAGTGTTTTTCTCATACCTGTTAATTCTCTTTTATGCATGTTAAAAAAGTCATATTTCTTCTCCATTTCTTCTAGATCTTGGCACTGCTCATGTAACATTCTCTCCTTAGCCTTTTATACTCTTTTTAATTAATCGATCAGTTTCATTATATTTGATTGGATTTTTTGTTTTGAATGATTTTCTTTCATTCATTAACAGTAATATTTCTTCAGTCTTCCAGTCTTTATGTTTTATTCTCTTTGGTTTTAAGTTTTCATTTGCGGTTTTAATTATTGCTACTTTTATATTTTCCCATTTCTGATCAATGTTATAGCTACTTTTATTCAGTTCTTGGGCATTACGTAGATTTTGAGTAAGAGTTTTTACAGTTTGCTCCTTTGTTTGTGGTTACCTTAATAATCTTAACGCAATTCTTCAAATGCAAAATTAATATCATTTATTAAATAAAAATATCTGGTTGTCAGCCAAGCAAGAGTTAAAACAAATACAAAATAAATTTGTATAATAAATAATAAAATAAAGTATAATAAATAATTATAATGTATCGGTAAATGGATAGTAAAAAGATGGGATAGTTTTATAATAGAAAAAACAATATGAGGAAAATGCAAAGTTAACATAATAAACTGAAGTCATAATGCTGTAATGTATACGTGAATCTTAATTAAGATAGATAATATTATACAAGATAAAGAACACAAACATAATTAATTAATCTTAAGTCAAGAATAAATTATTTACTGTATGTATGAATGATTCATATTTGTGTTCATAGGAAACAAGGGTAAGAAAAGGATAAAATATCGTTATATGATGTTTTTAAAATTTGTAACATCGAGATATTAAAGTTACGTAAAATAATGCAATGCTCGTGATTAATGAGTTAAA